TTCCAAAATTAACCAGCTGTCCCAGCAACCCAGGTTAATAACCCTTCCTTGCTTGCTTGCCAACCTCTGATAGCCACGAATCACAGTCTTAAGACAATGGCTGCCACTGACTCCCTCTCTGGTCTCCTTGAACCGTCCTGATGCCAGGCTGTGCACTGTGCTCCCTTGCTCCCTGTCACGCCTCATTAAACTGTAGGTGGCCCTGTGGCTGAACCAGTCTCTCTCTCCAGATTCTGTGGAGCCTGTGGAATTGACAGAAGCCATTCCTGCACTCAGGGCTCCACAAAGAGACAAAACTGCCTCAGAGGTGAAGCTCTAGGAAGCAAGAGAAGCCTTGAAGATGCCAACAAGGTCTGGTGTCTACAACAATAACAAGAACAGCACACAAAAGCCACAAGGACAAGAGACCAGGGCTCCATGCCTCAGTTTCCCAGTTCAGCCCCAACGCAGATAATGCAGACACTGACAGATCTAGCCACAGAAAATGCATATTCACTGTCCTAGTGACAAACTGTATTTAAACAACTTTGTATAAGCAAGTAAAAATCTCCAGACACTGGTGCCAAGCAGACAAACGATATGGAAGTCAGAAGATCTGTTGTGCAGGGCCCAGGCTCAGTTTGGGGGAGTGCAGAAGTGAAACCCCTCACACACTTGCACGTGTAACTGCACCAGGACTGCACAAAGGTTCAGATCCCACTTGACCAACACGTCCTCTCTCACCTTAGGTCCAGGTGCCCTGAGGTATACCCTGGAATTCCTGCAGCCTCTTGGGAAGGACTCCTTCGATTCTGGCAAAGCCAGGATACCAAAGGTCCCCCAGGGAGATGGAATGGAAGCCAGTTAGAGGCCATGTCCTGTGGAGCATACCTGCACTGGGGCCCCACAGGACAGGAGGCAGAGCAGGGCACAGGTGGTACACTCAGGTCCTCTTCATCCTGAACCCAACCCCTTCCTGGTACGGCAGAAACCATACCCTTGCCAGGAGGCACTGTCATCCCCCACCCACAAAGAGCCACCTGTTGCCACAGCCAGCTGACAGGCCGGAAATGGCACCAGCATGAAGACCCAGACCCAAGTAGGAGCAACATCACCATTCCTGGAGAGCTCAGGCCTCTGGCAGAGACCGGGGAACACATATGCTACTGAGGTTCCACACAAAGCTGACCAGTGAGCCTGGCCCAGCCATAGTCTGGCTGCCCACATCTTGAAGGATGCAGAGGTCAGAGGACACCAGCGAGCTCAGCCCAACTCTGTACTGAACACATCTCACCTCCTTCAAACCAAACTAAAACTTCCCTGTAGAACTTTCCAGAAGAATCTAACCACCACCTGACCTTTTGTTTACATTTCCTTCAATACATATGTATGGGCAATCCAATTATTTAGGTACTTGCTGTGAATTGGTAACATATTACACTCTAAAATGTTCCTCAGCTGTTCCTGGCACCAATTTATCCACTCAAGTTTCATCAAGATAAAGTGATCATTTCTACCGGTCTTTCCCTCTTCACACAGGCCTGATTAATCTGGATGCTTTTAAAACTCAAATTTAGTATAAAATACCATTTTGAAAATCATGCTGAAAAAAACAATCATTACATGCAGTACATTTTTAGTCATAAAGTCTGAAAGTCATTCAAGGCAAAGACCTTCCTCCTTTGACACTAACTGGCCAGGTGAAGTGCACACTGAAGAGCTGCCATATGTCACACCTGCATCCATTTCTAACCTCAGAAAACGCTGAGAAAGCCAACTCTGGTAGTTCTATTGAAGGAAGCGCAAGCAAGAGGCCTGGGGGTGCGGGAAAAAGGTGTAGGAGGGGTGCCATACCTTTGAGCTTGGTGTAGTGGTGCAAGAGTGGGTCAGCAGAAACCATGCAGGGCCACCAGGGGTAGCCCGACACTTTGGACCACACTAAGTCGCCAACGTTGTACTTCAATAGCTGATCTTTGTCTCTGCCTGTGCTTGGACAGGATTCCTTCTTAACTGGAATCTGAAGATGAATAACAAAAGACAAACATTAACACAACCAATTACTACCCTCAATCCAGCCTTCCACCTGTGGAAGACCAAGATTAATCCAGCTATAGGTTCAAAACACATGTGGAGGGCCAGGGACATAGCTCAGCCTACTATGTGGCAGGCTGGGTTCTATCCTGACACTGCAAAAAATAAAGATCATACACACACGGCCCCCAAAGGAGCGTGTTCCCCTTGCTGTTTCAGGCCATGGCAACTATATGCCTCTCCCCTTCCTCTAAAAAGCAGTATAGTGCCTGGCACACAGTAGGTACTCAACAGCACAAACATCTATTTCCCTAGCCAGGGGGTGGTCCTCAGGAGGGCTTTAGCCACATAATTCCAAAACCATGTGCCTGAAGGTGGTCAGTCCTCAAAAGCACCAAGCATGGAGACCCAAGCCCCAGCACACCACTCTCGCTTCAGTGCTCAGAGCTTCCCCAAGTCTCAGTTTCCCCATCTCTTGGACACAGGCAAGGTTTTTAAGGTTTTTTTGTTTTCTGGGTTTTGCGCAGTACTGGGAATTGAGCCCAGGGATGCTTTACCACTGAGATACAGCTGATTTACATGGCCCATCCTCAGTGAAGTGTCCAGGCCACCCTGTATGTCATTTTTAGATATGGTGACACACCACCTGGCAGAATACAACAGAATACTTAAGGCAGTGTCTCACTAAGTTGCAGAGACTGGCCTCTAACTTGCAATCTCCTGCCTGAGTCGCTGGGATCACAGGCATGCACCACTGCATCTGGCATGTGGTTGAGTTCTGAGGTTCAACAGGATGTCCTCCTCAAGGCAACTCTGCCCCAGCCACCATGGGCTCTGCTCTCCAGTGGGAGCAAGCACAGCCAGGGTGACCCAGCCTCCCACAGCTAGCCCAATTCCTTCTCAAGATCACTACATGCTCAGGCAAAGGGCTGATTGGTTTGGAGCTTCAGTTTCCTCATCTGTGAATAGAAAACAATAGCTCTGAAACCTTGTGAGCCTAGCAGTGAGGTATGGCATAGAGTTGCCATAACAATACACTCCCAAAAGATGAGAGTGCTCAGAGGTTCCAGCTACCAGATTCACCCCATCCTGCAGACAGAGTCAAACATCAAGGCATTCCCTTGAGCTTCAACAGAACCAAGTGGCAAAGCCGGACAGAAGCACAGGCTTCCTGCCCTGGGAAAGCCTAAGGTTCACCACAACCCTGAGCACTTCCAAAACTCATCAGTTACAAAAGGAGCTCTCTAAAAGTTGTCTTTGGGGTTAGGGATGTGGCTCAGTGACAGAGCGCTTCACTAACGTGTGAAATTCAAAGTCAGATCCCCAGTGCTGCTGGGGGGCGGGGAGCGGATAAAAATCTGCCTTTGAAATTACATTAGCCAAAGCCAAATCTGTTCCTGAGCACTCAAAAAACACTGTGTTTACACCCTAAAAGGTCTTCATGAGTTTAATAATTCCAAGGAAACTTCAACCATTCCTCCTCCTATCTGGGGAAATTCTAAACAAAATCCCACAACTGTACTTTTAAACAAAACACCCCAGGCTTGGTGACGACACCAGGTCACACCAGTCCATGGTGGACCTGGAGCTGCACCTGAAGGCCCACAGACTCCTGGGTCCTCTAGGCCACCAGCCCTGGACAGAGAGCAGGCTGCCTGGCATCTAATCCCTCTGCCAAGGCCACTGCCCTTAGCTGATTTACATGGCCCATCCTCACTGAAGTGTCCAGGCCACCCTGTATGTCACTTTTAGATATGGTGACACACCACCTGGCAGAATACAACAGAGCCACGTATCCTCCCACCTAAAGTCAGGCTCTCCTCTCAACCTCTGGTGAGTGGCACAACCCCTGCTCACTTGTGTCCAGAGTGCTATGGGGTGGGCACCAAGAACAAAGAACAGCCCCCTCCACCTGCTGGGCCCTGGTTGAGACCCACACATGGAGGGCGGGGCATGTGGGAAGGCTAATGGGAGCGCCCCGGCCTGGTCCAGTGCTGCTCCCACTCATCAGATGGTGCAGACTAGGGTCCACCCCTCCACTAAGCAGCTGGACTAGAGCACCTAGCACTAGCAGATGTGGCTCAGAACTGGCCTCCTCAGCCACGCTGCCCCTGAGCACCTAAGTTCTCCAGGCCTCTCCACTGGCACAGCAGGTGGCGACACACCTCCAGTGGCAATGCGGTGCCATCAGCTGTGTGTGGCCAGGGTGAGAAGACAGACAGCAACTGCCACACCAGGACATTCCCCATCGCCTCCGCCTGCCACCACACACATCCTGTGCTCAACACTCAGTCACATGCCCCAATGGAATCCCTCTCAAATACCTTTTTATCTGTAGGACTTGAGATCTTGGACACCAGAGCTGCTTCCACAAGGCCCTGCTCCAGCAAGGAGTCATATTTTATGCTCCTTTTCCTGTTCCTCCTTGCCTTGTTCTCAGATTTTTGTCCATTTTCTTCTGACTGGGACACCTCAGCAGTGCTGTCACCACAAATGGAAGATTCAAAGAGAGGCTTCCCATTCATGTATGTCTTAGTGATTTTCAGCTTAATTTCAGGAGAACCATTTTTGACAGGGGTAGTGTTGGGCGGCGTCCCCATTCCTTTTACTTCCTGGGACTCAAAACACAATTTGGCATCATGTGCACCAGGTTCTCCATTAAACACACGGGAAGTAAGATCTTTCAACTTCTCAGTAGGAATGAAGGGAAGCGCATCATGGCCATTAAATTTCGGCATGACTCCCTCCTGTAGGCTGTTAGAAAGCTGAGCTTTGCTGAGGAACACAGAACAGTCGCGGTTCACTTCACAGTTCTGGGTCTTCCCATTTGTGCTGCCAAGGATTTCTGGTGCCTGCTTCATCTTTATGCACTTTACGGCTTTCTGGACAGACAGAGGACTTTTTTTGATGCTAAATTCCATCCAGCCTGGATGCTTCGGTTCTTAGACTACTATAATATTTTTTAAAAAAAGAAGAGAAAAAGCAACATTACATTCGAAACCTAGAACAAGCATGCTAACAGTTCTATAGCTTTGTGGGAGCTGGGGTTTTTGAGGCACTTTATATCATATAATAATTTAAGTTGTAGGAGGCAATTTTTTTAATACTTTTTTTTTAGTTTTAGATGGACACAATATCTTTATTTTATTTTTATGTGGTGCTGAGAATCAAACCCAGTGCCTCATGCATGCTAGACGAGCACGCTACCACTTGAGCCACATCCCCAGCCCCAGGAGGCAATTTTTTAATATCACAAAAATTACACAAAATCACAAAATGTGAACCCTGAAAGGAAGTCCAGCACAGGCTGCCTGGACCACCAACCAGCATGGGAAGACACAGGTGCAGCTTACACCTGCCCCAGCACACACCCTCAACACAGCCCTGTGTACAGGTGGTTAGACGACTCTGGGCCTAAGCAGGACACCAGAGAAGCACTGGAGAGCAAAACAACTTACAGGCGGAGCTCTTCCCAGTTCCTCCTGCCATAGTTAAGGACCTGGAGGCATCCCCCAGTAACCTGAACAACAGAGCTTAATGTCGAGTATTAGCTCCAGATTGATGAAAGAAAAAATAGGGGAAAAGAGCTAAAGAGCACACACACACTCCAAGTCAGCACTGGTTTGGGCTAAGCCAGGACTCTGGGCCACCCCTGCAGGCCCCACTGAACGCCGACAGCACGAACACTACAGCACACACATTCCACTCTATCACCTGGGATCCACCCGGCAACCCACGTGTGGAGGAGGCCAGCCACTGGAGACCAACAGGCAGAGGGAGGCAGTTTTAGGAAAACACACTGGCTTCCTGGACATATCAACTTGGGGTCTTCACTAGGAAGCTACAGTCCGAGAAACAGCCAATAAAAGTGCTAAGAATAAGAAACAAGCAGGTCCCCACCCCAGTTGGGAAGACACCGACCAGGACCACACCATCACACTCCAACGAGACCCCTCAGGAAGACCAGCAGGATTAGGCACTGGGGAAAGCTGGAAGACACAAGGACCAAAGACGCCCATGGCGGGGGGGGGGGGGGGGGGGGGGGGGG